GAAATCACCCCCCGCCGGGGGGATGGCCATGCCGCAGCCTCTTCTCCTCCACTCTCCTCTTGGGATTTTGGGTACACATGCGCATGTGCCTGGCATGATGTTTAAGCCACCAGGTCCGGGACTTGAACCATGGTCATGTGGGAGTCCAGCAATGCAACTCCTATGCCACCCGCTGGCCCCCATGCAAACTTTATTAATATGTAGGTGCTGATTTGTCGCATGAACTCAAAAAGGGGATCTAGAGCAAGCGTTATAAACCATGATGCCTCTCCATGAAATCTGGCTAAAGTGAGCTTAAAGAGAACAGTGGACATGGAAAAGGAGGGGGATTTTCTTGGCATGGGGTGCAGTTCTACTGCCCTCTCCTCACCCCACTGTTTCATACAGCCGTCTTAGCCCTCAAGGCCATCATTTGCTCTCCTGTGGCAGGGCGAGCTGTCCTAGAAGGATGAGTCACAGCTGTCCTGTGAGTCAGACTAAAAATGGTGACGATGAGGTTCTCCCTTTGATCTTGGGTGAATAGCAGGGTACCTTTAAGGAATAAACCACTTCCCCCCATCCTTGCTGTACCATCTAGTAAGTGGCTTTGACGAAGACATCTGTCAGGCTGCAGTGTCACTTGGCTCCCCCATCCCTCCAGTGCTGGTGACTGTCCACCACCTCTCCTGAGATATCCCAAAGAGAAAAGTAGTGGCATCCTGAAAAAGGGGAGGCCTCCCAGGAATAGCTGCCCAGTGTTTGCGACATCTGAGAGAACAGCCTGGTCCTTATGTCTGGCGCACTGTCCCCATGGTCCCTGCAGTAGACATGGAGCTGGATCACTGCACAGTTACGCAACCTTGTAAAGGGGCAACTTGAAATTCCTTACAATGGGGTGAGGGGATAGAAGAAAGTCGGACCCCTGAGCCGGGGCTGGGGTGATTCAGAAGCTTTAGTGGTCTCTCTCTCACACACACATACACACACACACCAAGCTCAGAAATGCCCCACTCACTGCAATACGATTCTCAAATTATAAAGTTTCCCAGATGGGCCCAAAGCCCTCCGGAATGCATTGAGCAGCCAGAAGGTTTGGGTGTTTTTTATGGCAAGTTCTCAGGGGGTAGAGTTCGAGGGCCTTGGCTAGGCAAGACGACAGCATGTCAACATGTGACACTAGACTCGTTTCAAGAGCTTCAACTGCCCATGAGCTGGACAGCACAGCTCCAGACAGCTGGCTCCTGAGATCCGTGCGTGGCAGGTCCTTTTCACCGCGTGGATCTCAGCGCAGGTGTCACCACCACTTCGACCGCTTCTCTCAAGTAGCTGCCTCTGCCTTCTCCACCCTCGCACCCACACCCAGCACGGATTCGGCCTGCTTTGTTTTCAGAACACCATTTACCATCAGGTGATGCTCTCTCGTTCATTGTTTCTCTTTCCGCATTAGAACCTAAGCTCTCGGGCTGCAAAGTTGGACCCTCAGCACCCAGGACACGCGCCAGGCACCTGTTACATGTTAAATGCACGATTTAATGAATAACCAAATAACAAATGACTAGAGGGGATAGTCCTCCTTGGAGGAAGTGGGTTTGATATATATGTCATCGCGTCTAAAAAGAAAACCTCCTAACA